TGCATGAATTATATCTGTTGATCATTATCTCCACCAACAGTCTTATTTTAACAAAGAATGCCATTATAGCATTTCCTCATACTAGTATATTATGCAAATGAGGTCCTTATTTGAATAAGTTATGTTAAATTATGTTCACCTTCACTAAATTTCAAACACCCCAAGTATAAAATTCCAGGCAGTTACCACTATGCAATTATAACATTTTCTCATTAATTATGCAAATTAAGTCTTCATTTGCATAATCGATATCTGCTTGTGTTTCTCTCGTTGTTAATAACATATGTTGCAAGCTTGAACTTCCTATCATGGAATGCAGCTGATTAATAGAATTTCCTCATTAATTATGCAAATTACATCCATATTTGCATAATTGTAATATCATTATGTCAAGCATTACTCAAGCTACCTACATACCAAAATCATGATGATCCATCAATCGGTTCTTGAGTTTTCCTCCTTTAAACATTTGTCCTTTAAACCCCCCTGCAGTTCCAGAGCAAGCTGCTAGGGGGCCTAAACTCACGCCACTTCTTCCCCAGCACAAGAGCTACCTGCCATCCACATTTCGTCACCCCAGCTTGTCTAGATCATGAGATATCAAAACCGGAAGTTCAGCTGCAGTACCATGACAAGCCGCCAGGGGGCCCAAAAGCTAATCAGTTCGAGCTCTCATCAAGACCTACCCACCTACCAAATATCAAGATAATCCATCTAAGCTTTCTCGAGTTATGCTGTTGACAGACAGACAGACACACACACACACACACACGGCCACGAAAACATAACCTTCTCCAATTCTTGGCGAAGGTAATAATAGGTTGTTGTGTAGTTCAGGTTTCCAATGTTTAAAGTCATGATAGATATAAATTCTTCATGATGATCAATTGTCACTAGCCATGTTTTCTTATGTTTGACAGTTGACATGGTTCAGAAGCTGCAGGAGCTGGGGTTTGCTGCGGAGGACTGCAGACAGGCGCTGCAGCAGAGTGAGAACCGGCTGAACGTGGCTGCAGCCTGGCTGCTGGAGAATGCAGAACCTGTTCCTCAGAAGAGACGCAGAGTGTCGGGGGACAGACAGGGGGGGCAGGAGGGCGGCATGAGGCTGTCTGGCATCATGGTGAGACTTGGGTTCTAAAGAGTCTTTCCTATGTGTACAGAGTGTTTGTTTGTCTGTTTTTTTGCTTGTGTTTCTGTAGTAATTTCCACATGCTAGGCTCATTTGGAACACTGACTGGGAGCTTTCACCAAACAGTGTCTTCCATTTTCTGCCTGATGGAAGCCAGTGGGAAAATTAGACAGATTCACAATGATAGATGCTTAAACAAGAAATTGGCAGTCTAAATACTTGATTAAAGATTGAATTAAATCTTTGATACAGGTGACAGCTAACTGTGCCTGTCTGTGCCTGATCGATGACTGTAAGGACAGTGATGTACCACTGGCAGAGGTCGCTCTACATGGTGAGTACAGAGGCCTAATGTTTGTATGGAAGCATCTATTGTAAATTTAAGACTATTGAACATTTGTTGTAGACTATTCATTTTGGGTTCTCCCAAGGATAAGTTATGTTGCTGCTACTGCCAAGACTTATACAATCATATTATAGTCTGAAGATTTGTGACTCCAGTTTTAGTGTTTGACCAATGGTGCCTGAATGTCTGAACTACAATGTAGCAGCTGCAGCAGTAATCTCAAGGTTTTAGAGTTTTTTAAAAGTTGTGTGAGTCTAAACTAGATCTAATAAGTTGAAATGTATATATTTATTACCAGTCTATGAAATCTCAGCCAATATTTTTGCAAGACTGAGTTCAGTAAATACACATGTCATGTAAGTCTACACTTTTTGACAGTGGGGATGTTGCAATGGTTTATCACATCAGGAAAGGAATGTTGATTTGGTATTTTACCATCTGTTGTATCTTTTCCCAGAGCTGATGTTTGTGCAGTACTTGGAGGGACTGGTGAAGGGTTCCCTGAACTGTGCCCTGACTGTGGACTACTACAACAGGGAACTCTCAGGCTGGGAGCCACTTATAGAGCCATGGAAGTGAGTAGTTGCCGTTGATCACATACATGTACATAATTATGTGGGATATAACTGGACTCTGATGTTTGGGTCTGGGTGGCAATTTCTAAATATAATAAATTATTATAATTATATCATACTCTTTGATTTTGTGATTTTTTTTAAATCTTCATAGTATGGATTTACGTTATACAGGTTCATTTTTGGTAGACACTGTCACTGTGACACAATCTCTCCTTTCCTCAATCCTACTTGGTATATGTATGCCCCCACTTGCTTCTGTATTCAATTCTTTAATGGCAACACCAGAGGATGAAGGTTCTTTTGTCTTACATGTACATGTACTCCTGTATTTCTTCTCCCTGTGTGTTTGTGTTGTCCCTCCTCAATAACTAAACCATGTCATTTTCAGTTCCTGGTTCTTCTATTCCAATGAGTTTGGAAGCGATGATGAAGAGACAAAAAGGTTATTCCCAGTTTTGAACATTGCCTGTTTCTAACTGTTGCACACAGTGTTCTTGGTGGTCGTGTTTAACAGTTATGCAGTGCCAGTGGTTCGTGCGGTCCTTTGTGTTTTGCGTTAGCATGGCAACTGGTTTGATTAATACAATGAAAAGGACTGGTGTAACTGCTTGGTGGCAGTATCTCATATTGAGAGTTTTGTTATGTATATATTATATATCATAATTATTATGGAGTCTCTATACATCCCCATTTACAGTTGGCAGGGTTTCTTGACAAGTTGATGTAGTTCGAACTGTCTGTGTCACAGGAGGCTTTTTCATTAGCATGCAGTAGGAGCTACAAAATGTACATGTATCATGGAAAGGGGCATGCTTCCTACAGAAATACCGATTCTATAGTATTTTACATGATTGCAGAGTTAATCCAGCATCAAAGGCAATGCTTGTCTAGTCTCTACCAGACTAACAATGTGGGTTCAGAAACAGTAAAATTTAGTCCAAAATGATTAATATATAATAATAGCCATCTTGAATTCAGCCTTCAAATGTGATTGTAACCTTGTCGTGGACTGACTCTCCTGGCCAGGTATTCTTTTTTTTGTCAAATTCTACTCACTCTGAATCCATAGTCTCCTAGGAAGGCCTGGTGGAGCCTGTTGCTTGTCCAGATGTTCATACTTGTGTTGTTATTTGCAGGTCTCAGTTTGGTTGGACGAAGCAGCCAGAGTCAGATGTCCAGCCGTCTGCCCTACAGGTGCGCATCACTGCCGAGGACAGACTAAACCTCAACATCACCAGCAGCTTCCTGGACCTGTACACAAGCACACAGAAGAACTGGACTGAGGACTATCTCAAGTACGTATTATCTAAACCTGTATACAAGCACTCAGAAGAACTGGACTGAGGACTATCTCAAGTACGTATTATCTAAACCTGTATACAAGCACTCAGAAGAACTGGACTGAGGACTATCTCAAGTACGTATTATCTAAACCTGTACACTAGCATGCAGGAAAACTGGACTGAGGACTACATTGTGTATCTCAAGTACGTATTATCTAAACCTGTACACTAGCACTCAGAAGAACTGGACTGAGGACTGTCTCAAGTACGTATTATCTAAACCTAGTTTCATCAGGTTGGTAGAACATATATATATTAGGATATTGGAGTTTATTTTTACATAACCAGTAACCAGTAAAGGCACCACCTACATCGGCTACTTAGAGCAACAAGAAGCAACAAGGCAGGCAGAGACTCTGAGGAAGATGTCTGATAGGCATTAAAACGTTTAACTAAGCAGGTGGAAACTGCAATATCCAACCATACTGGCCATTAGCCATCCTTTTATTAACTCATACTAACAAAAAAAAAACCATTATGCCCCCCTCCCCCCAGTGGCCAGACCGTGTCGGGTGCAGCCCCTGTGAGAAGACGATCACCGTTTGTGCCATACCTGCTGAGGAACCACACCGGCTGTCAGCTATCCTTCGCCACACAGACTACCTCATCTTCAAGGTAAATGTCTTATAACCTAAGAACTTCTTAATAACTTGGTATTATGTTTGCTGTTGTTTGGTAGAGTACTAATCAGAAAAGGGGTTAAATTCTTATCAAACTTCAATGTAAAAATAAAAAGATTCTGAAGTCAGGGTGAGATATTGCTCCTAACAGAAGGAATTAAAATCTTTATTTGATAAGTATTTGATGGCATGCCTTAATTACTGCATTTAAGTGGCGTTTCTTGTCTAATCAAAGATGTTTTAAAACATGCTACCATAGCTGTACAGAATTAGGGACTTCACTGCGCAAAATAAGGCCATAGTTTATGTTTATAGGATATAATGAAACATTGCACTCCTTTCCAGAGCTGAGCCCCTGGGTTCCCACGGCAGACAGTCCAGCGACAAAGACAGCCTACTGAGCGACTGGCACCGGGTCATGCCGGGCGAGGATGTACCATTCGAGTTTGAGGGGAGGGGCAAGCTGCGCCACCGTCACACACACGAACTGCGGGTGCACCAGCTGGTGGTGCAGGTGGAAGGGTGGCACCAGGTGTCGCCTGTGTCGGTGGACAGGGTCGGGGTGTACTTCAGGGACGCACAGCCGCTCAGGGCAAAGGCTGAGACTATAGTGAGTAAATTGACAGTTTTTATGGTTGATGGGTTGATGGAGGGGTGGCACCAGGTGTCGGTGGACAGGGTCGGGGTGTACTTCAGGGACGCACAGCCGCTTAGGGCAAAGGCTGAGACTATAGTGAGTAAACTTACAGTTTTTATGGTTAGTTGGTTGATGGGTTGATGGAGGGGTGGCACCAGGTGTCGGTGGACAGGGTCGGGGTGTACTTCAGGGATGCACAGCCGCTCAGGGCAAAGGCTGAGACTATAGTGAGTAAACTGACAGACATCTGCACTTAGTCTACGATTTATTTATATGGACGGGTGGGTGGTTGGCTGGTTGGTTGATCAGCCAGTCAGATAGACACTGTCAGACAGATGGGTGGTTGCTTGGTTGTTTGGTTACTTGAAGAGAACTGCAGCTGCTTGATGCAATTTTTTCTTGTGTAAAATTTAGGACAAAGTTTGAAAGTCAAAGATTCTGGTCTGGATTAAGGAATTTTATGCTGTAAAATTTCCACTAGCAACTGCAGAATACATGAAAATACATCTAACTGTAAAACACATTGTGGTCCCTTTAGAATTTATCAAAAGATGGCAATAAAAGCACAGATATATGGACGAGGTAAATACTTCCTTGGAGCAGCTTTTTGCTCGTTGAGTGCTGTTTTAATTGTGGCATTCCCTCTCAGATGCATCTTTGTCATGTCTTCCTAGTTCCATGACCTGCCCCCAGCCAGGATAGTGTTCGCAGTGACCATGGAAGGCAGTGCACAGAAGGTGGTCACTGTGCGGTCAGCACTGGTCATCAAGAGCATGCTGGAGGTCCCAACTGAGCTCAAACTGGACAATCCTTCTGTACCTGATGGTAATATTTGTTTTCCCTAGAACTATCGTAGAGTGGAACCTTCTGCCATCAAGTACAGTAATGTTGGGGCATGGTCACTAGATAGCTTTAAACAATGTGCAAAGGCAAGCTCTAGCCTAACAAACTTTGTTCATTCTTACTTAAAAAAACACATTTATTGTACATACCATATGTGTATATGGTGACCAGACCCTCCAACTTGCTACATAATGTAATCCGACACCACAGGGTGTGTGCTACAGCACCAGTTACCATGGTGACAGACGTTGTGGTCTAGGTCGTACATGTTCATACATGTACATGTACTTTGTGTTTGGAGAAAAAGAAGGAGGAGAAACAAAGCTACAGTAGAACAATATTCTGTAAGGTAACCATGAAAAAAAAACAACTGTGTTATACTCCAGGTCCCATCCAGTTGCCAGTCCTGGAGCCCAACTCCTCCATCTCCATCCCCCTGCCCCTGGTGTCATGGCGGCTGTACGCCAGGCCTCGCGACTGGGGCGTGCAGTTCTGCAGAAACCGCTAGAGTGGATGAAGGTGCTGAAGGGTGGGGAGAGGCTGGACAGCATGAGGGAATGCTCGGCGGGAGATGACAGAGGAACCTACAGGTGAGACCTAACTTTGATGTGAGACCTAATTTTGATGTATCTTAATGTTAAACCAGCACCCAAAAATTGTGACCCTAGCATGTCCACAATACAAGGTACAGATTTCCATTTCAGTACCAAGGAAAGCCACCACTGGACCCAAAATCTAATTATTTTAATCAAAATTGATACATCAAGACTTACATGTAACCACAATGTCATACCAAAATTGGATACATGTACAGCTGCTGAAGACTTTTTTTTGAAATATTTGATATCTAATTTTGTTTGCACTTTTAATGACAGTGCACTTTTAAAAGCTCATTTTTAAGGAAGAGAATCCGGTCCTTTTCTATTTATTGTTATTTCAAACATTTTTGAGCGAAAAAATTTTACCTGTATGTACAAAATATAATGTATATTCAATTTACCTAATTATAAAATGACCTATATTCCAGGTTCTGTGTATCAGTGAGAAGAGAACACTTCCCCCCAGATGTAGCCGGCCTGTTACAGCCAGGACCCGGTGCCTCGCAGAGAAACGTGGACATCGTGCGACGACCGGGTCACGTGATCAGGCTGCTGCCGCCGGTGGTTTTGACCAACCTGTTGCCTGTAGAGTTATCATTTTACCTGAAGAGCACAGACATCCGGGGCACGGTCAAGGCTGGCAAGAGTTCTGCACTGTATAATGTAAGTTAACAACAGTTGTCTTTAGAGTATATACTGTCAGGTCTGTCATTGACACTTTGACAGCTGGTCTGTTACACCAAAGGGCAGTTATACAATATACATAATGTATCAGCTATACAGATAGAAAGCTACATGTAACACTAGGTCTTGCAAAGCAGCGTAGTGTTTACATGGTCTAGACTATCAAACTACAGTTAACTGCTCTGTTTATTCTTACTCAAACACATCCATATAATTATATGATGTCAAGCCCCTCTAACTCTGTCCTGCAACTTGCAACATACATTGTTGTACATTACATGTATGTAATGTAGCCCAACAACACAGCATGCTACAGCACCAGTTACCACGGTGGCAGATGTCTTGTTAAGGTCACAGACCTTACATGTATGTGTTTGAAGAAGAAGAAAAAGAAGAAACATCCTGGAGAGGTATTTATGGAAACATAAGCATAAATACGACCATAAAATAGTTATCTTAAAATATTATTAATGATTATTGCTCTTCCAGGTTGACACCACTCAGACCCTGGAACTGGGGGTTCTCTTGGAGAGTTTCCCAGAATGCCGAGAGCTGGTCATCCCCCTGTCCGGCATGTCCACCATCGACCACAAGGTCAAGCTGCGTCTGTACGACACCAAGAACCGACCCCTGCACCTGTACGTCAAGCTCAAGGCCAGTCCGGGTGGAACTCTCGGAGTAGGTAGACTTTGAACCTGAATTAAGTACACAGTATCAAGTACACAGTATCAAGTACACATTACAATCATTATGTAAGTACACAGTATCAAGTACACAGTATCAAGTACACAGTATCAAGTACACATTACAATCATTATGTAAGTACATAGTATCAAGTACACAGTATCAAGTACACATTACAAGCATTATGTAGGTACACAATATCAAGTACACTGTACAGTAATTAAACACTAAGCCTCAATGGTCATGTAGTGTACCACCTGTTCAGAATATAAATCAGATGTACTTGGATGTTAGTAATGTTGAATAATGATACATTTTACTCTTTATTCCCAGATCCTGATCTCAGCCCCGTACTGGCTCATCAACAAGACAGGCCTGCCGCTCATCTTCAAACAGGAGGGACTGCGGGGGGAGGCGGCTGGGCAGTTTGACGAACACGAGCTCGCTCGCAGTCTGGCTCCTCTCCTGTTCTCCTACACTAACAAGGAGAACCCTGACATGTGGGTCGTCATCTGTTACTAGCATGCTATTGCTTGACATAGTTACATTCAGGGAAGGAGACATCCCTCTGCGGAAGGGTATTATAAGAGATTGGGATTTTCATGTTCACAGCTGTTTCTCGCGTTCTAATGGACAGATTTTTTTGGACTCTGTGTACGTTTTGCTATAATAATTGGTCTGTAGATGGTGCGTGTCCTTTTGTTTTTATTTTTTCCACAAATTACCTGCACCAGACAAATTTTACCTGATATCATTGTTAAAAGAACGTTACATTTGGTTATAGCTAAGGCTGGAGATTGCTTGAAGTTTTCCTTTTATGAGATGAATAATAATTTAACAGAGATGAAGAAAATTGCCCTAGTCTTGGCATTGTGTTAGGATTCCTTAATGTATCATAATTATGTCATATTTCTTCAGTTTAGACAAAGGTTGTCAGAGGGCTCTTTTCCTGACTTATTCAAAAAGAACACATGAACTAGGGTACATTAAAATGTACATAATATTATCGTCTGTCTTCTCTGTCACAACCAGTGGAAGAGTAGTCCTTTAGTGAGATCACTTTGAAATCTTTTCCATTTTTTTCAATTTTCTCTTTCCCATTGCAGGTGCACGATGCGTCTGGGCACAGCTGTCCACCCGGACGGCATGTCGAGCTGGTGCCAGCGGCTCAGCCTGGAGGGCGGGACCGGCGTGCGCCAGCTGTACGTGGTGCGACACGGCGGCCATCCCTCCATCGTGTACAACATCGGCGTGGACATCCGCCGCGGGAGAGGCCGCTACCACGCCACACGCATCGTCACCTTCGCCCCGAGATACATCCTGGATAACAGGACTGAGCACAAGCTGGCCTTCGCACAGAGACATCTGGCCAGGGGAATGGTAATTATGATACTAAACAACTGTTAGCACGCCAGCTGAACTTACTGCACCTGCACGAAAAATCCAGAACGTAATGTGCATACATGTAGCACTTGGGCAGGATGTATTTTTTAAGGTCCTTTTCTCGTATTCAAGTATCCCGTTCCAATGTTAACGTTTAGAAAGATATCGTTTACAACAGGCAAAATTCAGATGCAACGTTGACCAAACATGCATCAGAAACAGGGTTTCATGCAGGTGCAGTACATTCTGACAACATGCTGTAACTGTTTAACATACAGTCTTGGTCTATACTGTTAACTTCATGATTAACATCCTCTGAAATGTCTAATGGGAGAGTATTAGTAATACAAAGGTACATCTATTAATTTTATTTCCTGTATGTCTGCCATTCTACAGCGTACAATGAACCCAGAAGGCTACCTGTCAGCCCTGCCTAAGGCTAACGTACTGTTCCACTGGCCGCGGGTGGACCTGGACATGTTACTGTGTGTGCGCATCATGGATGTCCCAGACTGCTGCTGGTCTGGCGGCTTCAGTATTGAGAGGATCGGATCATTCCACGTCAACATGAGGTGGGAAAGGAGGGTTTTAAAATCTAGATGGCTTGCTACAATGTATGTGCCTTACTGGTAGTATTTGAGGTTTTTGTGGCCTTCAAGTTCACCCCATTTCCTGTGTCTGACCTTTGGACTTCCTGTCATTCTGCCTATCAATCCCCCACTCACATGTGGTAAAATTTACTCAGACCAGACAAACAGACACACAAACCCTTAGCTTAGCCACCCAAGAAACACTCGGAAGTAACAAATGTTCACAGTTTAAAAACACAATCTTCTTGTTCCCAGAGGAAACAACTGCCGCTGCATCTTCCTACATGCGGAGATCGTGCAACATGGAGCGACATTCTGTGTCGTCTTCACAGACCCCACTGGACTGCCTCCTCCATACAGGTGTGTTACTGCTCCTCATATACTACTCATGCATACTGTAGCTGTAGCGTATAACATACTAATATACTGTATCATCCATTAAGTTTTAGCACTTACTGTATTCATGTAGTTATGATGATGCATATATTACCTTTTTATGAATAATAGTAATTATTTAAGAGTGCAACCTTTATTCAACAGGTGAATACTGTACTTCCCTTCTGCCCATATTATTGGTATAATTACACGTCGTATACCTTCTCCCTGTTGCCTAACCCCATAACCAACATGAAATCAGTGCCAAAGGCCACTGCAGCAAGGAAATGGTGAAAGAAAAGTTGCAGTTCCAAAATAAAATGGTAGGGGAATTGCCCTATGATCTGACCACTTTTTTTAAAAAGGAAGGACTGGCCTCAAGGGAACTATTTTTTCAAGTTGTGCTGGTTATGGATGTTTTAACCATGGGGCTTAATTTTCTGTATACATCCTCCCACAGGATAGACAACCATGCGGAGGTGCCGGTGGTGTTCTGGCAGAAGGACTCGGTGGACGACAGTTTGCGAACGGAGATGAAGCCTCACACGTCCATGGCGTACGCTCGTGACGAGCTGACGTTACCGTCCGTCCTGGTGTGCCAGGTGAAGGGAGGGTCGTACGCCTACTACAGCATGAACAGGTTTGGGGACGGAGACCAGCTCTGCTACGAGAACTTCATCTACATCGCCTTCACCGAGACTTTCAGGTCAGGAGGAGACTTATTCATGCCTTTATTGGTTTAGCAATTGCAGACAAACTTGCCCAAGTAACCACCTCTATAAGCCAACCATCTGGCCATGATGACCACTTTTTTATGATGAAGTTTAACTTTAAGTTTAATTTTAATAGTACTTTCGTTCAACACAATCAAACTATTACTCAGTTCGATCCCTAAGGTCATGCTCACAGTAATCACTTCACTCCTGAAGAAGGTTGACGGATGTGCGACTGAAAATTTGTTCGACTATGTTGAATGAAAGTGAAATCATGGAATCACAGATGGGTGCTAATAAACCTGTCAGCCACTTTTTCTCATTCCTGATTTTATTTGCATAGAATAGACATCAGCATTAAGGAACTTCTTCAAGCCGACCACTTGTCTAACCTTCTAGATCTAAATACTGATTCTGAGAGTAAGAGTTGTTTTTTGTTCCCTAAATCCACAGGTCCCAGCAGGATGCAGACCAGTGGGCAGACAAGGGTTCCATGGCCAGCAGGGAGCTGGTGTTGGATGTGCCCAGTGGGAACGCTGTGGTGCTCAGGAAAAAGGTGGGGAACACAGATCTATAATTATCATTTCTGTTTCACTCATTCACTCACTGTTGATTACACTATCTGTTGTTTTCATCTTATGAGGGTTGAACATGCTAAACCTTGCAAGTACAAAATGTTTAAGCGTAATGACTGCTCAGCAGATCTTTCTATCTGGTGGTGGTTTAGCAATTCGAGGACAAAACCAGCATACCTGCAACATACAGTAGCTTAGCACATCAGATCCAATGTATTGTATCACTATGTCATGTACATGTCTTTGTGTTATGCCATGCTCTTAGATGAAGACTTGTGAGCACTGTCTAGTCTTATTTTCTTCACACCATTGATTTCCCTAAACTCTTTCAATGATGATATTTGTGGTCTCTTTGGGACTCTCATCTTTCCCATTTTTCTTGTATCCCCAGGAGCCAGGCAAGCGTTCTCAGCTGTGGCGTATGACGAGCGCCGGGCTGCTCCGACACGAGGGTTCCTCGCCACCGCGCCACCCCGGCTCCAGCACCGCCCCCAGCAAGGCCACGGACGGACTGGTCCTGGACATCACCGACATCGCGGCCAACCCCCTCAAGTTCATCACGCTGTGTCTGAGGAAACCTGACCAGCGCAGGAAGGCAACCCAGACATGGAACTTCACTGAGGTGAGTTGGGAGAGATTTGTTTATGTCGATGAAGGTTAGACATCCAGGTAATACGATACGCCAAAAAGCAGTTACTCAAGCAACTGGATATGATTTTGAATTTGTCTTTACTTTATTTGCATATCAATCAATAGGTTGTGCTTATAACCTGCATTTCCCCTCTGGTCTCTCAGTCACTGACGAAAGCTAGTGGATACTAGCTGAAACGTCTGACATTTTCAAAATCATATCCAGTTGCTTGAGTAACTGCTTTTTGGTGTAGAGATTTGTTTACTTTCAACATGATGTTGTTTGACGAATGTGTAAACCTACATTTCATCATCAGGGGTTCATCAAGCTCAGTGTGTATGGAAACCAAAGAACTCAGACATGGAATGTCACTTGACCTTCAACATGTGTAACCCACACACATCATAAACATTGCTGCCGAATAACCCAATCAAGCTCACCAAAGCCAATCAATGATCAGGCATGGCTCAAAACATAGACTAAGTGTATGAACTAAAAGGATGAATTTTAGACTGAGTAAGATTGATATTTACTGAAAATGAATGAAAATTGTACCCCAAGGACTGAAATGAAAAAATGCTACGTTTTTACCCAAACTTTTTACACCATACCCCTTTCACAACCCTTTTTGGTCTATCATAAGCACAATCCAGTCATTTTTCCCCTTTCCTACGAGACTAGCGGTGATTTTTGCCCCTTGCTTAGCTGGATACGCAGTGTTTGCTCTTACCCTGCGTGTTTTCCCTTCTGTGCATGCGGCAGGAGGGTCGGCTGTGCTGCCTGCACACTGGACTCTGTGTCCAGGCCAAGTACCCGGGCCTGGGCACGGCCTTCAAGGTCAACAATGATAGTCCACGTCAAAGTTTCCTTTTGTTGGTTGATTTTAGTACGACAAACAAGAAAATGGCCAAAAGAATGATAAGCATGAACCACTAACATGTAAGAAAAGGTTTTAAAAGAACGATTTCAAACTGTGTTACAAAATGACCAGTTTTACATGCACTTTTGCCTTTTTTGAACTTAAAGTTTCTTCATAAGGACAGGTTATGCATGCACAGTATACATTGTGTACTTGCTTGGGCCCAGAATATGGTGAATCATCGGACCAGGTTTTGTCTACCCCTAAAATAAGCTAGAAACAAGCCTCTTACTAAATCACTGTGTATAACCACCTTATGTTGCTCTCCAGGATGGTCGTTTGTGCTGCCTGCTGGGAGGCCTGTGTGTCCAGGCTAGTGATGGAGTAGTGGGGCTGCAACACAGTGCTGCAGCCGTCCTGGGGCCTGTGGGCATCACCCAGCCAGGCTACATCCCACCAGGCCAGCGGGTCACCAGGCAGAAGGTGCAGCCAGGGTCGGGGGTCTTGGCCTGTCGGGTCATGTCAGATGGACCAACCAGAGTTCTGCAGATCACTGACATCAACCAGAAGGTCAGGGAAAATGTTAAATTATATAAATAATATATATATAAAATATACTACAGTTACAGAACACTTGTGAACACGTAAGAAGCTAAAATGCACAAACAGCAGCATGTTGGCAGAATGTACTGCACCTGTGCAAAACTTTCGAAGTTTTCATTGGATGTTAGGTCAACGTTGCATCAGAATTTTTCCTGTTGCAAACGACATCTTTTCTGACTCAACATTTTGAAAACTACAGACGGGATGTCATAATTGAATACCCGAATACAGTCTTCTGCCAAGACATTCTGCCCAAGTGCTTTGCACAATACACACATGAACATTACAGGTTTCGTGCAGTAATGTACAAGAAAACTTGTAGACGTTTTGATGACATGATTGTTTCTAACTTCATCAGAGACTACAACAGTCCACAGTAGAAGACTGGGTCGTGGTGCAGGACAAGACAAAATCACAGCCTCTGGCGACCTCTGCCCCCCAACCTCTGACCTCCGACCCCTCCAGCCGTGACTTTGAACTGGAGGTCATGCTGAAGGGCGGGGTGGGTATCTCGCTGGTAAACCGGACACCTGAAGAGCTGGCCTTCATCAGTCTGTGTGGGATCTCTGTCAGCTATTCTGCCACTGCCTCAAGGGAGAGCCTCATAGCCACTGTCAACAAGATACAGGTGTGTCTGTAGTTTTACTGTACAATCCCTTGTGATTGAGCACACTGACAGTCATCTTCGGCGACGAAGGACTACCAAGACAGCGCAAAGGGCATAAAGAATGGACAGTAGATTTCTCTGATATTGTAGAGCTTGGTGATAGACGAGGCTAGACACAAGATAGAGAGGTCACAGGTTTAATTTTCTGCATACTCCGCTAGACATTGTGTCCTTGGAAAAGACATGACTTAGGCATCCAGAAAAAAAGGGCCAGGGCTCCTCCTTGATTTCAAATGCTTCATATATGAAATAATGACAAAAAGTGCTTCAAAATAGCAGTGAATGTCAGACAGATTTTATCATGTACAATTTTTAATATTTATGTTTTTGCCGCCCTGACATTGCATTGGATGTCTTAACATGACTTTTCCCACTCTGACCAGGTGTACGATGGGTACCTGACTTCAGTTGGGACACATGCCATATACATACACAATGTAGGGGTTATTGACAACCCACTGCCCCTATAGCTTTTAAAACAATCTATGAGACTAGTCTTTTACCTTTGAAATTTATCATTGATGTAGCTACATTGACTGTTGTTTAATCTGTGGTATTGCAGGTTGATAACCAGTTGTCTGGCAGCTGCTGGCCTGTGATGCTGTACATGGCGCGGTGCGGGCTGCAGGCGGAGAGGGAGCGGCCGGCTGTACACATCGCTGTGGAGAAGGAACCCAGCACCAGGCAGGACACAGAGATTTACAAGGTCAGACATAGTGCGATGTGTTGTGGCACATATCATTGGCATGTGCACATGATTGATAAGTTGGTTTTATATCATAGCTGGGCTGCGATAATGCTCAATTTGTGTGTTCCACCATGTGTATCACACGGGCTTCCGAATGTGACGTACAAAATTTCTAAATATAGAATAAAATTTGAATACAATGTTCAAATGTTGGATTGATATACATGTAACAGCAAATTTTCTGAAATTCAGGCACATTTTGAATTGAAAGTTGTGTTTTCTATAGGGTGGGTATGATATGAAATAGAATACTGCATGATTTATTCTGCATCACCCTTGGTCCCTGCAGATGACACTGTGTAGTATAAATTCTATTATATAATAAATGTATCCACAGCACCTTATGCTAAACATGAACCCAGTTTTTGCTTGATTGATTGATCAACAGATTGGTTATTTTCCATCTACATTGTACATCTGAATGTGAGCCCCTAGTGAAGTTGTTACTGTGTTACGGTTCTTTGGGGTTCGGCTCATTGATAGTTTGATTGATCTTTAGACTGATTTATTGATTGATATTTGGTTGTATCTGCAGCACCTGATGCTGAATGTGAGCCCCCTGGTGCTGCAGCTGGAAGAGACCGGGCTGCTGAAGTTGTTACAGTTCTTCGGGTTTGGCTCCTTGGCTGCAGATGTGGAGAATGTGGACGTGGCTGAATTTGACAGCTGGAGGAACCACACGGCCGCTACAACAGCCAAACGGTAACGGTCTGAATTACCTTTCAAATTCAAAATTCATTCCTCCACTACAGCTATTCCATTGATAGTGGCGTGGAGGGCTATTCCACTGATAGTGGCTGGGATATTGTGTGGTGAAGGTTTATACATGATGTTGTTGAACACCATAACACCTTCTCTCCCCAGATATTACTTTGAGACCCTGAAGCTCCACCCTACAGAGATGAAACTGTCGGTTAACCGTGGAGCGAAACTCCCGCCTGACCTGAAAGCTCTGAAGGCCCGGCTGGGCCTGACCCTCATCAGCTTTCAGGAGGCGACAGTCGACCTGGACGCCTTCACGTGTGTGCACGCCTTCGAGACAAGGCAGTTTCTCATCGACTGTATCTACAGCCACTACATCGAGGTATATATGTATGTTATCGACTCTATCTACCTACAGCCACTACAATGTGCATTGTACAATGTACATTGAGGTACATGTAGGTATTGATGCCTTCATGTGTGTGCAGGCTTCAAGATATGTCATTTGCTCATTGACTGTATCTACAGTCACTACATGGAGGTTGGTTGCGACAAGTCTTCTTTTAATGGAATTATGTAAAAAGGGTCCTTTTTCAGGCCACAGGGCCAGGAGCGGAAGGCAGAGCCCATCCCTCTCCTTCCACCACCCTGTACTGCCCAAGACAAAGTCAGGTACAATGTACCTATTTTACACCTGGGTGGAGTGTGGAAAGTAATATGTAAAGTGCCTTTCCCAAGGTTACAACGTTCCACCCAAGAAGTGTCCCGAACTGAAGCCAGGTACTAATTTTTAGCCGGGTTGAGTGGGGAAATAAGTGTATAAAGTGCAACCACCCGAATCTTGTGTCCTTTGGAAAGGCACGATGGGACTGCCAGGGATTCGAACCCAGAACCTTCAGATACAACCCTTGTACCTTTCCCCATGTTGACAGGAGCTGAAGGGCCAGGCTGCTAAGATCCTGGGCTCTGTGGATTTCCTGGGGAACCCCATTGGTCTGTTTAACGATGTGACGGACGGGCTGTCGGGACTGGTGCAGCATGGGAACGTGTCAGGGCTGTTCCGCAACGTCACACACGGCCTGTCGAACTCAGCTGCAAAGGTGGGGCAAAGGTTGCTGTATTTGAAAAAGGCTCGCTGCCAACAAGTCCAGTAGGGGCTTCATTACTAGATATCACAGATACAGAGGTTGGTGTTTAGGCCAAGGGGCTGTTATACCGGCTATACAGATACAGAAGCTGGACAGGTGTGTTACACTGATCAGGGACTTTTATACTGGCTATAAAGATACAGAAGCTGGTGTGTTACGCTGGGGGGCTGTTATACTGTGTATACAGATACAGAAGCTAGACAGGTGTGTTACACTGAAGGACTTTTATACTAGCTAAAGTATATAGATACAGAAGCTGGTGTGTTACGCCAAAGGGCGGTTATACGGCTAATAGTATACAGATACAGAAGCTGGTGTGTTACACAGAAGGGCGGATATACCAGCTATACAGATACAGAATGATACAGAAGCTGGTATGCCATGTCATGCCAAAGGGCGCATAAAGTGATACAGATACAGAATACAGATACTACTGTAAGTAACCTGAACTGCAATCATTCATTCGGCCCCCCAGATGACGAGCGCTCTGTCGGACGGGCTGGGGAACATCGCGCTGGACTCGCAGCACCAGCAGACCCGCACGCAGATCAGACAACATGGCGGCTCCGGCAGCGAGCACATCGTGGCGGGGCTGAAGGGTCTGGGGTTCGGCATCGTGGGGGGTCTGACCAGTCTGGTCACTCAGACGGCCGAGGGGGCAGTGAAGGGAGGAGTCGAGGTTAGTGTACAACGCCATGTAACTGGTACTGTACAGTTGTTAGATTTAACAAAGTATAATGTAGTACCTTGGTACTTCTACATTAGTAAGGACCCCTGAGCCCTAAGCTTTTCCTGCTGTTGGGGGTTGACCAGTCTGTGATCACTCAGACAGCGAGGTGGCCATGTAGGGAGGAGTCGAGGTGCTACGTATACGGTGGCACAGTCCCGTGTGTTATGGGACAATGTATAAGTTTGATGTATTGTAGATTGTCAAGTACTAGTTTATGACAGTACCAACCACTGAAAAGGATCTAAGACCACCTGTTCCATAACAAGACAGCTGAATTACACACGACTGTCCCAAGAAGGCCCTCAGACGATGACAAGGCCCTTCTCACTGCTTATTACATGTAACTGTATCCTCATAACTAGTATTACTACATAACGTTACATGTAAATATCTGGTGCCAAAGTGACACCACATGTACATCAGGAGGGAGAGGGTTAAACTGATCAGTTTTAACTATCCTGTTTTGTTTTGTTCTACTTCCTGCAGGGTTTTTTCTCTGGGCTTGGGAAGGGTATTGTAGGCACGGTGACCCGACCAGCAACAGGCTTGCTGGACTTCGCCTCAGGCACGGCCCTGGCAGTGAGAGACACAGCGGCTTCAGATGATGCCAGGTCAGTCACTCCAAGTGTTGTTAAACCCATAAACTTTGGTCCTTGGAAGTTAGGGCTCGAAATGCACATACAGGTTAATGCAGGTTAACTTTGAGCAGTACATTTCTAATGTCTAACGGCACCTAACCTGCACTGGCCCATGTACTGTGCCATGTAGGTGTGAATTTTCATTTGTGTATTTGACTGTTATAATTACCACGGCACATGTTGAAAGAAATGAAAAGGAAAGAATGACAATCATATGGTAGTTGTGTTTTGTATCTTTGTTTCCTTTGTCAAATGCTAGATAAAATAATCAACGGTATATCAATGTTCAATCTCTCAGTCGGCTGCAGCCGCGGCGTGTGCGGCTGCCCAGGTGCTGTAGCGGACCAGGTGGTACCCTACCCCGCTTCACAGACTTCCACTCCCAGGGGCAAGACTACCTGTACAAACTCAACGACATGAACACCACAGAAATGTAAGCAAATTTCTGGGTCATTCATTTAGGCAAGGACTGTTCATGATAGTGAACGACTTTATTGCCTAACAATTGTACATGATATCATACTTTTATGTTGTCTTTTGTCATCCTTGGCTGAGGCTAAGCATGATTCTTTATCAATATACATGTACTAGTGCAATGAAGCTTCAGGAGTGGCTAATATGAGATGAGGGTTTGCCAGACCTCCAACCGGGTGATTTGTAGTGAATCTCCAACTTGCAGATAGTAGTTTATTTTTAAACCATCGCACACCGTGGCATGTCCCTACTTGTTTTCAAAAGGTGTGCTGGGTTCTTTAACATCAGGTCAAAGATAAATCGGGTCTTGTTTTTGGTTTCTCAGGTTCATTTCCCTGGAGCAGCTGAGACACAGTGACAGGGACTTCCTGCAGGGCCTGGTGTCCAGCGAGGCGGTGTACTTCCTGGGTCGCGGAGGGCCTGACCCGGAAGCAATCATCCTACAGGTCAACTACAGCGACCTGTTCCACTGTATCCCCATCAGGAGGATGGCAGATGTAACAGGTGGGAGCCAGAGGATTGTTACCTCTGCAGAAGGAGATATCCTTCCCAGGAAGGCTAAGGTTTTAGGTCGTTTGCAGCTATAACTGAATGTGGGTTTGATGGATTTCTTTCATTTTCAGAATTATACGATTAGTTATTGGGGTTCAGTTTTTTTGTGTATCTGTATTGTCAAGTATTGAAATAAAGCAATTTAACATCCCTGTGCTGTATGTGGTGTGGTATCGTCTATCAACAGATGTTGCCCACCAGGCTATACCACTGTCACTACTTTCAGGGGGCGTTAAAGCCTGTAATGTGTATTATGAATAAATTGTTATGTCACCCATCTTTTCAGATATGCAGCATTACTGGTAACAAATTTGACGTCTGCAGTGTCAGCTGTGGTTTTGAACATTATGCCATAATGTCACGATTTGCTGTTCAAAGAAGTAAACAGTAACTCATCAGCTGCATGTTTGTACCCTGACAGGTGAGGAGAGGTACTATGTGGAGGTGACGATGAAGGCAGATAACCTGGCCGGCGTGCCCACTCCCACTCAGAACCCACAGAAACGGCCAGTCGTCAGGTGCGACTCCAAAGAAATAGCAGAGAAGGTGAGTTATCAAAGGAAAAAGGTCTATATTTCCTAGAATTTTAAACCTTTTGTTTTCTGGTGAGGTCATGAGGAGGTTTGGACAACAAATACAATTCACTCTCTTCAAATCTAGCTTCTATGTCACAGCAACATGGCAATGCTTGAGACTTGACATTGCATGGCAATAATAGCCCCATATGTAAGTCAAACTAAAAATGCGAAATGAGTATAGCAATCATAGTTCTAAATTTTGTAGATATAGTGAATACTACAATGTATACAGTACATGTCTGTACATGGAACCAAATGAGTTGCCAGCCAACAATGGGCTACAACTTGATTGTTTTATGCATTGTACTGAACAATAATTACAATCATGATGATTATATTTTACAGTACTAATTTTCACTCTTTGCCCCCTCCCACCTGTTTTTTAGGTCGTGAAGCAGATCATGTATGCTAAGAGCCTGTATGATGAACACAGGTTAACCCTTCCACCCTCCAAAGAAGAAGATCCACTAGACTGGGACTACTAGATACCGTAGGGGTAGTCGCCACAAATCAGTACCTTAAGGCCTTCTAATAGGGGTAGTGTTGTTTCCAGAACCGTGCTAAATCGTTCTGAATAGTCCTCGCGTATCCAGAACCGTGTCTACATTCTCAGATACACGGAGACTATCCAGAACTGTGCCTGATCCAAAACCCTAATCCATTCAAGCATAGAACTAGATAGGCAAGGTTCTGGATACAACAGGTAGGGCTTAGAACTACAACCTTGACATGCATTGTAGAGATTAGTCCATTGATCAGTAGTGGCAGATAGAGGGGAAAAAAGTGGAAAATGGTCTTGTTTGAACTTTCGTGTAAGACGAAGAGCTGTACAGTAAACATTGAACATTAAGGAGAAGAACCGAGTTACAATCAGTGTTACAAACATTAGGGCTGTTTTCCCTGCTGCTGTTTTTGTCTAGTATACGGACCTGTGTGCAGTATTATAGTGAGACTAAGTCTTCTTGAAATATGGCATTTGTAAATCTGTATGCCACGAATGTACATGTACATCAGAATTTGGAAGCCTTTCGATGTAAAATGATGTGACAGTTGGGAGACAAGTTATTTACAAGCTGGTATGCCATATACTAAATATATAGGTGTCGCCAAAATGTACTGTACAGAATGTAAAATGTTTAAACTACTGGGTTTTATTCTTCAAGAATCATTTTGGAGGAACATTGTTGACAAATACATGTGATATATGTACACTTAGGGCACAGGTAGGGCATTTGTAAGGGACAATCTAGGTTTTTCTCCACCATCAGAAAAATGAAAAAAATCTGTACTGAACTGTCAAAGCCTTAAGTCTACGAAATGATATACAGTGAACTGCATAATGGTAAAATTTCTTGTGGTTCATTTCTTTGTTGATAAGCTCACTGATATGCAGGCTATATATTAGCAAAATATGCTGTCACAACCTGCATTCTGGTGGAATCTTCGGCCAGTATATATAAGTTGTATATGAAGCTAGTACATGTATGTATTAACAATACTGGAGGTCAGCTATTGTTGCTGTTGGTATGTGCAATATAAAGGAATCATGGACTGTAAACTTTGTCTTTAAATGTTGGTGGGTTATTTTATTAGCGCTACAGCTCACCGTGTTGGTGGTTAAAATAGTAAACAGCTAAACCTCCTTCCAACTTCACAACATCTCTGAATTTTGGACTGTCTGTACTGCAGCCCTCATCAGGTTCAACTGACCAATCACTGTAAGATCACCTGTCATTCACGTGATTGGTCACGTGTCACACACGTGATTGGTCACGTGACATTCACGTGATTGGTCATGTGAACCTGATGAAGACTTAAATGGGGACAGCCAGAAATTTTAGACTTTTTCTTGTGTGAAAGCGATGTTTAGCTGTTTACTGTGTTATTTTGTTGTTCTTTCGATCATTTTGCATGCAATAGCACCGAGGTTGGCAGCAGAATTCCTGCTGGGTCGTGATGAGAGAAATAAAAGTGAAAGAGCAGCAGTTGTTGCTGGTAAACTCTAGTTTAAACCACTCTTCATTCGTAGTTGTCAAAGTAATTTCTCTTGTGTCTACGACATCGTGTTCTGCTTACATTTAGTTTATATCTTTAGACAACTGTCCTAATGCAGTTTTGTTCTTCGTTGTGCAACTCTTTCTTCAAAGAGTCGGCCTAATTCTACAGTTTGTACATCAATACAATCTAATGCATTATACAATCTAATGCATAATCAGATCTTCCTGATTTTTACAGACACCCTCAACTGTCCGTTTGATACATGTATGTGTACTCCAACTATTAGCTCACTTTCAATCCGCTGCCATGCTAGGCCAAGTCCCGGTAAGCCACCTCCACTTGCGAGCCGAGAGGCATCATACAACAAAGTCTGTCTGGAGCTGTATACTTTCCCTCCAAGCGCGTGGACAGCGTCTCGCACCTGTTCCGCCGCCATGCGGAATGATGCGGCATTGCACGTGATGGGCCACATGCTGACAACTTGTAATGCCGACAAGTTGGCAAATGCCTTTGCCAGTGAAGAAATGCTGAGAGCCAACTGGTTCTCGGACAAGTAGATTTCTCGTAGATCCTGTAGGTGAACCAAGCGTTCAGCCATCGCTCTCCCTCCCTCTGTAGTTATTGAGTTCCGATCAAAGTTCAACAATCTGAGATTTTTCAGCTCGGAAAACTTCTCTGAAATCGCCCTTACTCCGTCGTCTCCGATGTTATTGGATTGCATAATGAAGTATTTCAGTTCGCCCAGCAGGTGGAGCCGTGCAGACAGACTTCTTGCTGCTTCAGATGAAATCCCGCAGCTGATAAAGTCTGGATGTTCCGTTCCTTCCAGGTAAGGGAAAAGCTTTACCAGGGTCGCCACATCACTGTCTGACAATTGCAGCCTTGCGAGTGACAGCCCTCTATATTCTTTAGCATTGTCTGTGCTTTTTGGAATGCTCGGCAGTGCCTTTAGAGGTTCTAGCATCGACGAAAAGAACTCGCAATAGTAAATTTAATTATCGTTTTTATATTATAACTGAATGACACTTTTAAGTACTTGTAATGGAATCTGCAATTCAGCCAGTAGGCTGCGAGAGTTTCTTTTCTAATAAACCATTCATTCATTCATTCATTCAATTAGTGTCTCTCTTTTGTTATACATTGTTTATGAAGCAGACCAGATTCCTATTACAGTTAGTAGAACTGTTAGATATTCTCAACACCACCATATGTGAATGTTAACACCACAAACTATGTATGTATCATTTTGCCATACGTTGTACCCGCTACATCTGTTGCACAATAACGTTCTTGTCTTGTCTATGTACAAGTATATGAATAAATCAACATGTTGTGTTTAACGAATCCCTTATACTACTAGTACTAAAGCTTTATACGTTCTTTTGTATATTTAGAGTACATAGACTATATTCCACGCCGTTATGAAACGACTGATCGTCAATATCCCAGTCCGTTCAATAACGTTGATCGTGTAAGATTCGTAGTCTCCACCAGACTCATTTGCAGGCTGAATAAATAGTAGAAAACCTGAATTGGGTATAATTGGCCAGAGGAAGCCAAATTGAACCTCTGTGGTCGGCTACCTTCCTGACCAATCATATTCCCTTCTCATCCCGATTTGTACTATCTATTCAGCCTGCAAAGGAGTCTGGTGGAGACTATAAAAACGAGTCAACGTTTTCCGCATGGACCAAGCTGCATCTTCACCGCGCCTCTTCTGTGTAGCTCCCTGTGGAAGTCATATTCCTGGTCGACGTTGTGTAACGCATCGAAGCGGTTCTCCAAGGGAGGGTTGCGGTCAGAGTTGAGGTTGTCGTTTGGGAAGTAGTGGTAGGGAACCGCCACGTTGTTCTTGTCCTTAAAAAAGGGGAAGAACCCGTAGATGTAGGCGTGGTCACAGAAGGACGTCATCATCAGCACGCTTACGAGACCGATGGTAGGCGTCTTTTTCATGCTCCTCCCAGCTATTTTAGATGCAAGCCTGGCTCCGATTGTAAGAAGGAAGAAAATGAAAAAGGTGGTTATTCGTCGCCAACATTGCATGTGGATAGGCCTTGTGGGTTGTGTTCGCTTTTCAGTTTGGAGGTCGCTGGTACATTTGCGAAATTAATGAGAAATTGCGTAGTGGTAAATGATAGGGTTATAACAACTGTAAGCTGGGTGGACGTTGAATTTACTGAAGGTGAATTATGTAAATAAAATCGTCTTCAATATCTCATAGTCACTGAGAAACAATGTTGGCCAAAGTTCTTAATAGTAAATGTCATGTAATATCTAATAAGTAGGGACAGTAAGAGACTATTCTTCTAGACCTTGAGTTTGAGAAATGCTTTCTCTCTCTCTCTCTCTCTCTCTCTCTCTCTCTCTCTCCCCCTTTCTTTCAATGTTTTAACAGACAATCATGTTACTTACGACATGACGCCAGTCCTCAGCCTATTCTTTGTAACTACCACTGAAAAGGGTAGCTTGTAAACTGGTAAAGCCTTCATGATATATTTTCTCGCTCTGTAGTCCACTAGCAGGACAGAATCCTTCACGTCCTGTAGTCGATTCTCGTACACATCGAGAGATCTGTTTTTTAAATGTGAAGACTCCGCCAGTCGCCGAGGCGTTTTGAGGTTGAGTATTGTCATATTAGTCCGCCCGCCAACGTCCTTCTCGAAACCTATTTATCAACATCATAAGTATTAATAAGGGATAAACATTAATCAATATGGAGTAAACGTGCCAAACTTTCAAATTATATAAATGTAAAATAGTCTCCGCTTGAGAAACAAACTCCGTTCTTTTGTACAAGTCAAGATAGGGGGATCTACAGAGGACTGAAGAATGTACTAACGTTACCTATGCTTTTAAAATTCTACTACAGTATTATACAAGTTTTTAAATGTATTATTGTAATGAAAGATATTACATTTTACACGTGATTAGTGATGTTAGTGGTTTGTAATTTTAGTGTTAAATAGCTGTACTTGGAAGAGACAGTGAGATTCAGTTCCCCTCATAAAGTGTTCTGCAATACTGTAACTTTAAGAATTTAAATAAATAAATTGAAAAACCTCTGAGCACAGGAAGGTCTATCCTGATGACGTAATCCATGGAGTCGATCTCGGCACCACAGCGGCTGCCCAGGAGAACACCGCCGTTGCCCACGACTGCGCATGCGTTGTAGTGACCAATGGGAAGTGCGGGTTTTGTGACGTTGCCCCACTTGTGCTCCTGCAGACGACTTTTGAGGTTCAGTCCCACCGCGGTGATATTTCTGTAAGACAAGTGAGTAGGTATGCCTAAGGCCACAGTAAATATACATGTATAACTAATTTTTATGGAGGACGCGCGCATTAATATGCGCCTGATTTTGGAAAAAAATCAGGCAAAGATGTCTGATGCCATGCCGGAACGTGGATGGCAGATAAATATGAAGAGAGGAGACAAGATAAGGGTCTGTTTTATGTTTTGTCTGTTACTTTCATGTAGTGATGCATTTCATTCCTTTTATATGCGATGATCACTGAATCAAAACCATATGTACTTTTTTGTTTCAGTGACAAGTGGATGTTGTAATAGTTGGCAGTAAACCTACATGTAGCACAATATAGGTATCATTTCTTGTTTAACAAGGATGATGATGTCAAAATTTGGAAATGTAGGGACCTTGTTTTATTATTTGGTCCGCCTTGTTTTTTTCACTCTATCGCATTAGTTTTGGAGTCTGCGAAGGATGTCATCCATGAAATGTACTTTCTGTAGCCTAAGTCACATTTCCAATGGAGCACCTATTGTATCCAGAACCAAGCTCGGGCACAGTTTTGGATAGTACACGCGTATCCAGAACCGTGCCTGGGGCAAATCTACGCTCTTGGATACGAAAAACATTTCCAGAACCGTACCTGATCACAACGCTAACCCACTCAGACAATTAACTAGATAGGCACATATTTTTATACTGAGGCTTCCATACTTGCTCTCTAAAAGTATGGGGAGCCCCGGTGTACAAAAAAGATGGCACCAGCGCTATAATTGTAAAGTACATTGTATATGGGACAAATGAATGAAAATGTACTAATTACATACAGGGATGCCAGAGTATACAGTGCAATTTTACGGAATACAGTGCAATTGTATTACATGTAGTATACAGTGCAATTTTACCATAGTAGAATTGCACTGTATACTAGTAAAATTGCACTGTATTCCGTGAATTACACTGCATTCCGTAAAATTACACTGTATACTCTGGTACCCCTGACATATACGCAGTTAAATTTGACTGACCTAATTTCTTTCAATGCTGTGGCGTTAAACTTCCACGGCGAATCCGGCGCTAAGTTTCCAAATACCCAGTCTGGCTGAGTTGTTGGAGGAAGTGACTGAACCTCCTTGGCGCTAGCAGCTTGCTTAGTGTTCACTTGCTTAAGGAGGTTTAATATGTTTTCAACCTCCTTGCTAGTACTGGTTTCTCCGGTCCTAGTAGGCATCGTGTGATTTGACGTGTTAAGTGGTGACATTTCTCTGTATGTCGAAATAAGACATAAATAATATGTAATAATCTGCTTATTAGTTAACGGCGATTGTTTGTATGCATATTACTGTAGAGACTCCAATGTGGTAGAATCGGCATTGTGACCGGTCGGAGTTGAGGTCTCGACAGAGACTAGAATCAGGATGCTGTCATTGTGTTACTAGGATATTGTTTCCCATTCATAAGTCGTAAATTTCAAGCCAGTTCATTGATCTGGTAATTATAAAGTGGCAGGAATCAAACTTGAAAAGTTCTGACTTTCTCAGCGAATATCTCAATCGGAATCTCTACCGGTACGCATTCGGCTATTCTACTGTATCTGTGACACATATTTACATTATCTAGTCCATGTATGTAAGTATATAATGAAATTTGACTTACCTAACTTCTTTCAAAGATTCTGCTTCAACCTGTGCCGGTGAATCCGGCGCCGAGGTTCCAGATATTCTGTCTGGGGCTGACTGAGTTCTCATGACCTGGGCAAGTGACGGGGTGGGCATCTCGTCGTGTGACGTTTTGATGACTGGTACAACCAATTCTCTGCATGTTAACATAACGACAATGTTTAAAGTTATAAAACTTTTGGTCCAACACAACAAAAGTTCTCTCATCTAGAGCTTTCGACCAGACACTCTGGTCTTCCTCAGTAGACTGACCCAGTGTTGACGTCATACTTCAAATAAGCCACGTGACAAGCTTCACTGGGTCAGTCTACTGAGGAAGACTAGAGTGACTGGTCGAAAGCTCTAGGTGGAGGTCAGTGTGGCCTAACCGTGAACATAAAGTGAATTACAGTACATGTAATACCGATCAAACTATGTGCCACTTTGCGTTCATTACTATATTCCTAGACAAAATATGTTGTCACCTTGATGACATAACCCATATCAGCATGAACGCTGCCAGTACTGCTACACAGATCGCCATGCATCTTAGTGGATTTCTTGGGATTCTCCAGCTTCTGTTGACAGCAGTTGGCGCCATATAGCTGTCAATGAGAACAAATGAAAACAAATGAAAATCAACACTGTTAAGAAATCAAGACCTAATCAACCCCCCTTTTTTTATAATGGAAAAATCACTCCCCTCCACTAACACAAATAAGCATTCCATGCACCACCTTGCGGTTATACTATGATTTGCAGTGTTCTCGGCCATGCATGCCACGCTCATCTCGAGCTCCAAGTACTAGTAAAGTATATCCACAATTGAATAACGTTGGCCTAATACGAAAGAGTACCAATATCCAAAAGACAGAACAAAAACACACGGGAATTACGTGAAAAGTACAAAATCGTTCATGATCATATTGGCACAGTGATACTTTTTTTGGCTCGGAAGTACACCAAAACACGAAGGTGACGTATACATTGCACTGCTTCAGTTCACGTGTCATGTAAACCAGATTACTAAGTATATCCATGACCACAGGTAGGCCAAGCATAACCATTAGCCACCGAAGATCCACTGACAATCATATAGGCTATTATCGGGAGCTGCATACTAGTAGTAGAGATAGACTAATATTTTTAGCCATGTATTAAGTAAATTTCCCCTCTTCAGATATTTGACAAGTAAAGAGAAATTTGTATTCCTTTTAATTTTTGATAAACCTACTCTAGATAATCTCACAGCCGCATATATCCATACAATCACTACTAAGCGAAATGAAGCCGAAAAGAATAGAAATTAGACGTTTACTTACACTCTTATATGTTCATATGTATGTAATGTATATGTTTATGTTCATGTTGTGTACCCATGCGACCTGTACTTAGTTCTGTAGAACACAAATGTACAATAAAGGTCTTCATTCATTCAATATAATAGGTTTGGTAACCAGGCTATGCCACCGTATACAGTATGTAAGACCTGCTTGGAGATTAGTTAAGCCCAAAAAAGTAATAGGAAAACTGACCATAGTGTGAATAGCCGATGTTGTTGGGCCGATTCTTCAGTCTTCTCGGTCACTCTGTGCACCTTGCTGAACAAAAACCGGTTGAACCGTCAGATGAACTCAGATTATAGTGAAGACTGTGAGAAGGTGCCCCGGGCAGGTTTGGTTGACAAAGGGTAAAATTGAATCAGTATACATGGGTAAAATCTAAAGCATTATCCCGACGTGCAGGGCTAGCTAACTTCGAAATTTTTAATACCGTGACAGTTTCTCAGTTCAGTACCCCCTCACTAGTAATAGTATGTGACGGGTAAATCAGCATTCCATGCACTACCTAGCGATTATAGCACGATTTGCAGTGCTTTCAGCCATGTACTAGTATTACATGCGAATCTTATTACCAGTAATATCAAAGCAGATTCTTGGGTGGTACACTGTTGGCTAATTACGTTGCTAATGCTTGTGGGTGACAAGGCAGTCAACATATATCCTTACGATATGTGCATTTTTGTAAGATGCCAAGGTTAACATGACTTATTTTTTCCATGGTTTGAAATATAAATTATACGACAGTTTTCCAAATCTATCTTGTTTTCGTGTCTCTCATTACTACCTGGATGTCTAACCTTCATCAATATTAATTATTTACTTTTGGGACTGTATTTCTGACGCAATGCCATCATGCGGAAAGTACAGTCCCTGCAGCCATGAGGAAAGTGGCTAGTATACGGAAACCTTTGTCGTGTAGATATCTATCAGATTGTGAATAAACAAAGTTTAAAATTCCACATTAAGAACCTTATATCCCTATTTCATGTCAAAAAATGCTAGAAACTTCGAACGAATGGTATTATCAATACTAGCACTATTCACCACTGTATCCAGCATGACTTTGACTTACTACTTAAGTGTTATCGGTCACCAATAGGCAGCCTTTTGTTGGTGTCGAATTACTTGTTGACCACTCTATTTATAAGCATTTTGCGTCTTTGATGTAGCTTCCTCCTGACAACGACGTACGAAACCCTCATACTCTACTACTTGTAGGCACGTCTGGCCAAGTCAAACCACGTGGTAACTGTGACCAATAGGAGGGCGGTTTGCCGTGACGTCAGGTCATTAGTCGCCTACTTCATTTTACCGCGTCTGGTGCTGCTGCCTTTGTCCGTCTCTGTGCCACTTTCTCCCAAATTTCACCCAAATTTTCACCGAATCCCACCGTTTTCTATCACAATGGCCGTAAGAAGCACCAGCAATGAAGAGGGACAACACCATGGTGGCCACAGCTAAGGTAGGTTTCGAGTTTTTCTCGTCGGTACGAGGCTGAATCGAGAGGAAAACAGCAGGTTCGCTTTGTGTAGGCTCCACAGTGTAAGCGTGGGTGGCTTTACTCGCAGAGCGCCTTTCATATTCTCATTTTCACACATCTTCGCCGGCGTATTTGCCGTTTTTACCCGCCGCGTTAGCATTTTAAAGCGAGAATTCACCACAGAAGTGTTCTTTGGTCGGTAGGTGGAAGAGCTGTGGAGAAAAAACGGGAGAAACCCCGGCGATTTTGGAGAAATTCTTGCCGGCGTTTCTGAGAAAGTGTTGTTTTTCGTGTGCTTTAGGTTTCGTTCATTCAAACATGGCTCGGCAGCGCAGGCTTTCCCTACCAACAACTTCCGCTATTTCCGCATTTATCTTAGCTCAGATTCTCCGCTCCTGGCCGGCAAACTGTTGCACAGGCCATGTGCGAAGTCGAATGTATTGTTTGTTGATCAGTTCGCAGGTCGGTTTGAAACAACAAAAGTCACCGCTACGGTATGGCACCGAGCGGTCGCAACAAACAATGGGCTGTTCCAAAAAATAAATGTGGAGGGGGGGTGGAAGAGGTATAAATTGCTGCTGTCTCAAATCCCCCTCTACGATTTTATCCAAATGCCTTGACTCCCTTCATTACTTCATCCGAATATCCGAGTGCTTTATCCCCCTTTTTATTTCATCCAAGTGCTTTATCCCCCTTTCTATTTCATCCAAGTAATGTACCTTGACCCCTTCATAATTTTATCCGAGTGGCTTGACCCCCTTCATAATTTTATCCGAGTGGCTTGACCCCTTCATAATTTTATCCCAGTGGCTAGACCCCTTCATAATTTTATCCGAGTGGCTTGACCCCCTTCATAATTTTATCCGAGTGGCTTGACTCCCTTCATAATTTTATCCGAGTGGCTTGACCCCCTTCTGAATTTTATCCGAGTGGCTTGACCCCTTCATAATTTTATCCGGGCACCTTGACCCCTTCATAATTTTATGCCTCTGCTTCATTTTGCAGTTTTTGAGTTTATGCTTTTTGCAGTGACAGCTAAATGCAAGTTGCCAACATATGCTATATCTTGCAGAATTTGTGTTTCTAGGGTAAATTCAACTACATCGTCTACATGTACATAATTCATAGGTAATGAAAACATTTTGAGGCAAAATTTATACAGTTCCTTAGTCAGTATCAAGTTATTGCCTATAAGGGATACTTTTTTTCAGTTTTTAGTGGCTCAAATCTAAAATTTAGGCCATGACAATCATACATTACAATGTTGCAGGTACCAGATCACTGTGATCTAATTGGTTACTTACAGAGCTGCTGTCAACAGTGTTTGTCAGGCAGAAAATCACTTCCCCGCCTCTTTCCCTCCCTCCCCTATTAACAAGTCATAAATCTTTTGTCACCTCTCTGTCAAACAGCATTATCTACCAGGAACATTCCAGTCATTTTAGGGATGAGGGAATAGTAAACAAACTGATTTCAGTGTTTTTTTTTATCTAAACAGTACAGTACGGGCAATATCTATATAGACCTATGAGATAAGATAGTAGAGATCAGATAGTATAGTCTACTTAGCAACGTATCTTGGTTAAGACTTCTATTTGTACCCCAAATGAAGACACTCTGAGGTTTCTACACTATAGGTTTTAGAATGTTCCAAGTGTTTTTATTTTCACTGTTACCTATCCACCACAATTTTCCGGCAGTTGGGCTAGCACCTTAGGTGATGTGGAATACACCATGTTGTCAAGCAATCTGATTATGTATAAGCCTTGTGACCATTATACATAATCGTAAATTGCCCCTGTGACCTTTATACCTACATAACACTTTAAAGCATAATATAGAATCATATATAAGCCTTGTGACCATTACACATAATCAGTTTACACAACCCTTGTTGTTACGATTATACATGTACATGTACATCATCATATTGGGCAGCTTGCCAGGACAACATGTATATCAATGTACATTATCATACATATCCCTTTCATGTTCAACCACAGAACATATATATATAGGTGGATCACTTTGCCACTCAGAGTACACAATGTACTTGCACACTCAAGTTTTCACAAATTTACATGACAAGCCTTTTAGGGGTACTGGTAACTTGTACTGGTTTTCATCTCCAAAACCAATCTGTCAGATTCTTCATAGACAGTAACAATAGACATAGTTCTTCCCTTCAGGCTTGCTCACATCAGTTGTTTCTCTTTTCTCTGTGAACAGTTCTATGCCATTTCTTGCAATCCTAAAAAATCACAGCATCAGACATTGAGACGTAATTAAGACAGGAGAATGAACAAGATATGGTGTTGGGGCAGAGATAATCTTTTGGGCTCAGAACAAGAGATGGAATGAAGCAAATGCAGCCACGTCTTCTGAACCACACACAGCTTCAGATTTCCAAAACAGTGAAGTACCCTCATCTGCCGAATAAACATACCCCCCGGAATAAACGTACCCCCCGGACAAATCTTCAAAATCAAATAAACATACCCCCGGAATAAACGTACCCCCCGGAAAATTACCAAAATTGACGGGTAACCTGTGTCTCTTGTAC